TGTTTCCAACTTTGGACTATTGCTAATTGTTGATAACAGGGACTGTGTCCTTGAGCTCTAACACTGCCCCTTTCTTGCCCCAAATGGAGAAGAGAGATGGAGTCGGCAATGCTTTCCTTCTAGAAAAAAGAGGTGCCGTACTCACCATGAAGTTGTTACAGCAAGTGCCATACTTTTAACCGGTGATTTTCCTCTTGAAAAAATGTGCTGGTACTGCATACCCCTGAATACCCTCAGAAAAAAGCACTGATAACATCCCTCATATGGGGAGAAGACAAGAGCAAAGCACTAATATTCAGCAAAGCAGCTCTAATTTGTGAACCCCTGATGGCTCTGATGTCAGCTCATCCTCAGTGCTGCTGGAGTTTCTTTGAAGTCCTTTGGAGTCACTGTTCTAACTCTGATGGGCACCCAGGCAGCAATGAGAATATAAACTAGGGTATTGTGCAAAGCTAAAATTTGCTGCTCCACTCACTTTTGCCCCTGACTCCACCCTCTACTGGCCTGCAACCCTTGGCAGGTTCCCCAGAAGGGAATGCCATGCTAAAGAAAGGTTTCCCCGATCCCTGGCCCAGTTAATGGAGGAGTATCTCGTTCTTCCGTGCCCTCTGATGTAACTATGCAGAGTGGCTCTGGGCACCTCTCCCTTCCCCATAACTAGCAAAGCCCACCCCCACCAGTGTGAAATTATGAGGATATACTTTATTTGCATAATATACACAGGTTGCAGGTTGCAGCTTTTCTTGCTGTTGAATTCAGGCTACCTGGGAAATGGGTTGTTTGTTTATTTAAACCACAGTGTGCCTCAAACTGGCCATGACAGTTTTAGAAATCGCAGGACCAGGTGGGTGAGAAAGGAGCTCCAGGCCTAGGTGCTTCAGAAACTCTGACTTTGGACATGACAGACATACTTTTTCACCAAACGTTCCCCAATTGCTTGTGCTCAGCCCTGGTCATGTGGTTAGCAAGAAATCCTTTTGTGATTTTAAGATTTATCCCTGAAGTAAGTGGCTGATGCACACTAGAATGATATTAAAGTGAAGCACCCTTTTCTGGCCACCACCACAATCTCCATAGAAACCGGCTGAGTATATCATTAAAATGTAGCTGTTAAAGAGCCATTTTATAGCCTTTTTAAATGCATGGAATACGTTACAATCCATCTCATCTGTCCCTACAAAAGCCCAGCCGGTTAGTCTCCATTTTATAGCAAAGGGCCTGCAGCTGAGACATTACAGTTTGGTAGATGGAGGCTACCCAAGCAAACTTGCAGTCAAACATGAGTCCTAGTTGGTGCATGAAGGGGTTAAGACAATAGAGCTTGATTCCTAGACTCAGCTGGGTCACGCCCCCCCTTCTTTTATGAGAAATCACTTAAAACCTTCTCTTCCTGTTCCTTCCCTCTTCTCGCCATGAAATCACCCAGGATGGATGTGTCTGAACTTGCTGCAGGTTCAGACCACATGTTGGAAACTATATTGTGTAATTTGCACCCAGGAGTAATCTGCCTGTGTTCTTCTTGCTGCTGTATGGGACAATGAATCAGACCCTTGGATTTAGTAAGTAAAGCATTTTAAAAGTACTTAACAGTGTGTGGTCTGTTCATTGCAAGAGGGGTAAATAGAAACAGAGGAACACTGTTTGCAAGGAGACTAAATGGGGCAAAAGGCTTAACAGCCTGCATTCCTAACACTTCACTGTGCTGCTTGACTTTGTGACTCTTCTACTGGGGGCTCTCTCCTGCTAGAGACTGTTAAAGCCCACATTTTGAATCCAGACACCCAGCTGATTCTTTTATTATTCACCCCAAACACATGGGTCACAGGGATCGTATATTTTATATCCTTCAGAACTGAGATTACAAGGGAAGCCCAGTGCTTGATCCGCTGGCTTATGCAGAAACCTTAGGCTGCTTCCGCTGTGAGTTTTCAGCGTTGAAATCTGCGGTTTTTCAAGGCAGCCTTTTCACACCTGAAGTTTTCTCTGCCTGCTTGGCAAAGGCCAGGCAGATTTTGCAGCCTGAGCTCCCATTTCAATAATAACGCTTGGAGGGCTCAGTAGGCTTTTCCCAAATAAGTTTAAATCAGTCTCTAGTTTCCTGTGTTTCTGCTGTGATGGCTGATGTTAGGTCGCTTTGCCCACAAAGTTGTCAGCTGGAGAAAAAGGTTGCTAATCAGTTTTTTGGGAGATTGCGTTACCTTGGACTGTGATGCAAAAGTTTTTGCAGGTTGCAAAGTGTATCTTTTCTCCATGTTTCCCAGCCCTGAAATTCCAGGGGTTTAAGGTCAAGGAGTGGAGCTATGGATATGTTATCATTGCAGATAGGCACACGTCAGGTTGCGGTGATCTTCAAGGCGATTTCCTCAAACCTTGTCAATCTCAAGGCTACCTGTGTCAGTTCTCGCCCCCCTCAGAAACATACAGGGTGAGATGTTTGGTGAGGAATCTTAAAATGCTGTTTTAAATGTGCATTCTGTACTTGACCTCCTTCGTCATGTTCTGTTTTGAAATCTTTTAAGATAACGTTTTTTTGTTCCCTGTTAATTATGCCGGAAAGATATACTTTGTATTTGACTTTCATCGGTAATGTTTGATTCTGGATTGTTTTGTTTGATGTTTTAGCGTAGGCTGTAAACTGCTGTCAGCCCCCCCCCCAAAAAAATATACAATGGTCTAGAAATGAAATGAATAATAATAATAATAAGTTCCAGGTTTGTTTCTGTGGGAAATGAGGCGCTTTTCTCCTCAGAACAGACAGCAAAATTAGGCAATCTGGGCAGATACGTGAGAGCAGTCCTCTAGTTGAGGAGTTCCCCCCCTCTTTTCCCAGAAGGTGCTGGAATTTGAGGATCAGATTGTTTCCTTTTAGAAAGCTGACTCTCCTCTCCAAGGTCTGAAAGGTCAGGCGAGCATATCCAAGGGCAGGGACAAAAAAGTCCGTTGGCTTCTCCAGAGGGACACAGTCAAATAAATTAGTAGATACAAATTCCCTCAGGACTTTTTTCACGTGTTTGCAAAAGGTCCCCTCTACTCACCCAGAAGACCTTGTAATACATATATGTGGAAGCACTTAAAAGGGCAGTTTGCTCTCCTAAATAGCTACACTTTAAAACAGATAAATAAAATAATCGCCTCAGGATTCCTCAGTGAGGAATTTTAAGGGTTCCCCTAGAAAAGGGGTCTGAGTTAGCCCGGTGGATGAAACTGAAAGATGGACTTGTCTTTTATTCGAGTTTCACGAGGCTTCAGCTGTAGCCTCCAAAAATGCACAATTCCTTGTCTTTTATAAAGGTTTTCAGTTCATTGGCTTAAGGAACTCCTGGTATACACACCTTCAGTGGACCTTAGTTTTTCTGTAGAATATGTGTAACTTGACTAAGGCCTGCACATGGTAGTAGATAAAAGCTCAGGTGCTATTCTCTGGGGTTTTTCCCCCTGTCTGGAACTTGGCAGTTCGATATTAAATGAAGTATATGCTTTAAATACTAGATAAATGTTCTTTATTCCTTTCTTTGACATATATTCCCTATGGAGAGTTTTGAGCCTGTTTTTTTTAATAGAATCAAGGACACAAGAAGATGCTTCTTTCTATATTGGCTTATTAAGAGGAGGAGAAGCCTCCAAGCCCTTCTCGTCGTCGGTTTACCTTCTTAAACACCAGTTTAAGAGCCTGTTCCCTGAAGCTGCCAACTTACTGGATTGTTTTACTGCTTGTGATAACATTAGAAAGGAGGGTTTTCAGACCTCGTGATGTGGGTTTCATTCATGTAAAGTGCTGCTTGGGAGAAACCCTTTGTTTATCCAGAGATAAACTCCTGTTTTTCCTCCCACTGTTCACAGGCAGTAGTTTTGTCCTGTCCCCCTCCCCAATCCGGCCCTTTATGTTCTCAGGAATAAAAATGGCATACGCTAGATGTGAGAAGAGACCTGCAATATTAGCTACACTGTGTTTTGGAGTTTTAAAAATCTCATATTTTATTTTTTTGGCTCTCTTTGGAGGAGCTCTCTATTTATTGTTTTAGTTTCCATTTCCTGTGTGTATCATTGACTCGGAGGCACTGAGCAACCGGCCGCCTTGGGGACTTTGCAGCTAATGAGAGGCACTGCTTCAGTCCTGGACATATGTGAAGCAGCTCCCTTTGAGCACCCACAAAGCAATTCGAACTCTGTGTGTTTTCTTCCTGTGACACAGCGTCTGTTAGGATGGTTCTGCAAAAGATTCTGCAGCAGTAGAGTGGAGCCTAGGGACTCCCTGCTCTGATTTATCCCACATGTTAGGTGTGTCCTCCATCATCATCTGGCAAAAACATAAATTTCTCTCACTGTTGAATTTCTGTTTGAAGATGATGATGGAGGACATTCTGCCTCCTTCCTCAGCTGCCAGCCAGAACCCACCCAGGGACCTCATGGGAAAGGGGTAGGTAAGAAATCCTTCTCATGATTTCTAAGCTTACTCGAGAGTCTTTGGTGGGGAAGACTTAACCCTTGCAAGACTGCTTCTTCTACATGCTTGGCAATTCCCCCCCCTCTTTAACCATGATTTCTACCAGTTTTCCTTTGAAAAGATTTTAAACTAAATGGCCTGTAATTTCCTGGATCCCCTTCTAAAAATTGATGTTGTATTAGCCACTTTCCAGTCCTCAGGTATGGCGGCTGATCTCGGAGTCAAGTTACATATTTTTGTTAGAAGCTCATCAATTTCGCATTTGAGTTGCTTAAGAAAGTCTCATGTGGATGTCATCCGAACCTGGTCATTTGCTCGTATTAAATTTGCCAGTAAGGCCTAGAATTTAATCTCTCATTGCCACTGTTTACCTCAGTTTCACTACCGTTTACCACAGAGCCCGGATGTGTGAATGCACAGGTCACTCAAAGAATAGTAGTTGCACATAAACAGCCCTGGACTTTTGTACTAGATTGATTTCTTTGGTTATGAGGCTTAAAGACTAAAATATTTTTAACGGCCCCCTTTAAAATGTAAACTTTCTCTTTTGTTTTAGGTTTACCAGCCTTTGCTTAAACGATATAAGGAACTTGAACAGCAGTTACTGAATAGGCCAAAGGAACACCATATGAGAGAACCAAAAACATCAATCTAAAACCTTCTTTAAACAGGAAAAGCAAAAGCAAGCCAGCTGCTTCACCTTGAAAGTCCGGGACTCTGAGAATACCTGCACTTTTTTCAAAGTTTGTAGCTTTGGACAAACATTTGGGCAGTGCTAAATGAAAGCTGATGGCTTACTCTACCAGTTAGTTACCATGTTTTTACCCAAAAAGAACCTGGAAATCTGATTTAATTTTTGTAAGCGATCACTGAAGATTTTTGTATTCACACGTCCTTTTCAAAGAATTCAGTTCTGTGGGCAAAAGTAACCCTGTATTGTAGCTATACCCTCATTAACCAGCTTGGAGCTGGGTAGATGTTTCCTGGGTTACAATGCTGGGTTGTAAAGTCCTGCACAGCTTCATGTAGTCTTTCCTTTCTATATCCCCTTTTCCAACACAAATAAAAAAGGAGAAATGACTTAAACTCTTTGAAAATTTGAATTGCATGTGCAAAATAAATGCAAACAATAAATTTGATTTGCACCATTTGTTCCGTGTGCAGTATTTGGTTATTTCTGATGCAGAATTCACAGCAGGAACCAGAACATAAGTTTTGGGAGGTGGGGTGCGCTCCCGTCGTTCGGTCCCAGCGCCTGCCAACCTAGCAGTTTGAAAGCACCTCTGGGTGCAAGTAGATAAATAGGGACCGCTTACTAGCGGGAAGGTAAACGGCGTTCCGTGTGCTGCGCTGGCTCACCAGATGCAGCTTGTCACGCTGGCCACGTGACCCGGAAGTGTCTGCGGACAGTGCTGGCTCCCGGCCTATAGAGTGAGATGAGCGCACAACCCTAGAGTCTGGCAAGACTGGCCCGTACGGCTAGGGGTACCTTTACCTTTAAACCAGGAAAATTCAGACATGTGACAGCCCTAAGCTAACTAGGGATATCAATTCAGGTTTCTCCCAGTTTTTTCCAACCTTAAGTCTAGCCTGTCACATTTTCGCATCAGTACCTTTACCTTTGACATGATCTGGTCACCCTTTTTCTCTTTTATGGAAGAAGAACAGGATATTTTCATACCACCATCATCACAGAGGAATCTGTGGAGGGGATATATTGATTGATAATGTATAGTAACTTTCAAATAAATGTTTTGTTTTTTAAAGATTTGGAATATTTTTTAAAATCCTCACGGATATTTTCCAGCCATTTTGTGCATCCTTCTAATATGCACATATTTTTATGCAATTTCCCCGCTAACGTACATATTTTTGCAAGCAATTTCCCCTAATATAACACATTGGGAGAGATGATAGTAATTGTAATCCAACAAGATCTTGGCTCTTGGGTCTGAGACAGGATTCTTCCAGCCTCGTCACTGGCGTTCCTTTTAATTGGCAATGCTAGGAATTAACCCTGGAACTTACGCATGCAATGCATGTACTCTGTCACTGAGCTGTGGGTCATTTACTAAGCTATTAGGAGCTTCTTTCTATTAATTGTCAAACCAGAGATCTTTCTAGCCTGGAAGTGTCTACTACTCCATCTGGCAGCACCCCTCCTATACCTCTGCCTAGTCTTTTCTCAACCTTGCTATGAAAATGTGAAACTTCCACTCTCTGAGAATTTGGACAAAAACGTAAGTGTGTCTGGCGTATCGTGTGGAGGTGGGATTCGTGGAACTAGACTCTCCCTTGAATCTCTGAAAAAGCTTTCAATTCACGTGGCAGTTCTTGAATATGTTTTCTGCCTGCTAACATCCTTTCAGTCGCACGCTTCACCTCTCCTTTCTCCTAGTTCTAGTTTTCTGGATCTTGAATACAAAGCGTTGACTTAGACAGCCTACAGCTGCAGCCGTTCCCTTTAACATCACGATGGTCCCTGGGACCTACCTCTAATCCATCTGCAAAACGTTTATTGATTCTCCAATAAGCTTGACACAATGAAAAATTATTTTCTTTGCTGCCTAAAGCCCTTTTATCATGGAAATGGAAACAAACCAGTTGGCGCTTTCTGAAGGGATTTGCTTTCAAAGTGCTGACAAACTGAAGCTACCGACCCCAGTGTTCGTGCTTTAAAAGACACCATTGATCCAACAACACCTAATTTGATCTCTGCTGAATCCTCTTCAGTTTAACTATTTTTGGTGTGTGCTTATGTGTGGATGTGTGTGGCGAATATAGGAGGTGTTTAAAAAGCAACGCCACTGCAAGCCATTACTCTTGAGGGTTAGGCTTGAGGCCAGCAGTGGACAGGAGGAATAAGCATAGGTTGTCAAAAAGCATCTGGTCATAATCTGGGTACAGTATATTTTTCACTGGCCAGGTTGCACCCTACTAAGCCTGTATATAGCACAGGATGCCTGCAGTTTACGATGGGCATCCGTTGAGGGTGGCATGCATTTCACCCCCACTCCCTTTGATCTCTGTCTCTGCACGGTGTTCCGTCAATCATGCTTTGCTCCTTGATTTAGTTGGGACTCTTCTAGACACCCAGATTGTGCCTGCAAGCCCCCATCCTGCAGCTTGGCCAGGTGAGATTCCTTCAAGAAGGTAGCTGTGCTTCCGTGGCTCAAAAGGCGATGCCTCTTTGCTACAGATTCCATGTATTACAGCAGTTCTCAACCTGTGGGTCGCCAGATGTTGTTGGACTACAACTCCCATCATCCCTGAGCTCTGGCCTTGCTAGCTAGGGGTGATGGGAGTTGTAGTCCAACAACATCTGGGAACCCACAGGCTGAGAAAGGCTGGTGTATGAGCATGTGGAGGAGCAACATGTATTCTTGTATACTTCATCTGTGCAATCCGAAATTCAGGCTGCTTTTGGGGACAATTGTGACATCTCACTATAAGGATCGTTGCCTGTACCATTGCACTATTCTTTTCTGTATAAGCATTATGCAATTGCCTTTCCACCTAAGCAACTGACAACCTAAGGCGATGTTCGATTCCTCTGACCCAGAGGTAGCCAATGTTGTGCATCCCTGACCATTGAATATGCTGGCTGGGACTAATTGGAATTCTAGCCTATAATATCTTGAGGGCTCTTGCTTGCTGCACCTGCGCTATACTTAAATCTAGAGCAGGCTTTTTCAAAGCAAGCCCCCGATTTGTGGAGTGCTGTTGCCAGGGTACCAGCAGGGTCATCTTTTTGTTGCCATCATTATTCTCCCAGGCATTCGGGCTTTAATATTGCTGTGGTTTTGTGCTTCAGTTCTTTCTGGTCCATGAGTGGGGAGCCTGTCACCACCTGAGAACTGTTGGACTGCAACTCCCATCAACCTGGCTAGTCTTATGAGAGACGGAACAAAGCTCTTCTTCTCTTTCCACTTTCTTCACTCCATGCATAATTTTATACAGCTCTTTCATGTCTCCTCTTACTCACTTTTCCTCTAAAGAGCCCTGGAAATTGCAACCTTTCCTCATGGGATAATTGCTCCAGCTGCTTTATCATTTTGGTAGTCCTCTTCTGAACCTTTTTGAGCTCTTCTGAATCCTTTTTGAGGGGAGGCGACCACAATTGACACCATAGATCACGATGCTGGGAATTTTATTTTCAATTCTTTTCCTAATGATTCACCTTTTTCACTGCTGCCGTACACCAACAACCTCTGGCTCCCCCTGGTAAAGAGGGAGGAGGCAGTAATCCTTCCCTCCGCTGAGTTTTCCTGATTAACATTTGTGGGAATGTTGTGGATCGTAGGAGAGGATATATTGATTAAATATTATCCTACCTCACTCATGCTAGTGAGCTAGTAGCAAAGCACATTCCCTTGTACATAGCAGGAAGCTACGTAGTTGATAGATTCGTTAGAACCATTTGAGTTAAGCAATCCAGTCTGGCTTATCCAGATTAGATTGTTCATGGTAAATCCCCTTTAAAGGTAAAGGGACCCCTGACCATTAGGTCCAGTCGTGACCCACTCTGGGGTTGCGGTGCTCATCTCACTTTATTGGCCGAGGGAGCCGGTGAACAGCTTCCGGGTCATGTGGCCAGCATGACTAAGCCACTTCTGGCGAACCAGAGCGGCGCACGGAAACACCATTTACCTTCCCGCTGGAGCGGTACCTATTTATCTACTTGCACTTGTTGTGCTTTTGAACTGCTAGGTTGGCAGGAGCAGGGACCGAGCAACGGGAGCTCACCCCGTCGCAGGGATTCGAACCGCCGACCTTCTGATCGGCAAGCCCTAGGCTCTGTGGTTTAACCCACAGCGCCACCCGCGTCCCTAAATCCCCTTTAGTTCCCTCTTAAAAACAATAATGACACAACAGTCTTCTTTTAAAAGTAATGATAAGGTTTACTTACATTCAGTTCACAGTATGGTCCTGAAGGCAGGCTTTAACTTGTAGTTGCAGTCACAGAGAAAAGTGTGAGTTCATCCTTTGTGAGGGATGATCCCATGTGCTGCTGGCTGAGAGCCAGCACACAGCAAAAGGCATCAAAATGGGATAAGGTGAAAAAGGGAAGATCCTGGCTGGGGCAACAATCCCCTGTGTATCCACTCTAGGCAAACAGGAAATGTTGTATTTGACTGCTTCTTTGATGTTACATCCCACAGCATAGAGGTACCATTCAGTGGTGGGGAAATTGATTTGGCTTGGGAGGATGGACCTATGGAAAAGGCATTCAACCTCTTGCTGCCCAAACCATGTCTCCAATTTAAGTCACACTCCCACCTCCTGGTGCTTCTTTGAGCTAAGACAAAACAAATACAAACCATTGGGATCCTATTCACAGATTTCCCACACCTTCTGCCTAGTTTGGCCCAGAGAATGTCTGTTGGCCTAGGAGATCTGGATGCTTCATTCCTTTTGCTTACAGTTCTTTCCTTTAGAAACATAATTGAGTTTACACAGATCAATACAGCATCCTTGCAGAAAGTGCCTCTTTTGCTATTGACCCAGTGAACATTCTTACTGGCTTAGATTTTTTTCAGACCCAACCAGGGGTGACTTGCTTTGAAATGGACTCCATGGACACATGAGGCTGCAAGTTTCCCAACAGACCATAAAGTAGACCTGGGGAACCTTTTGCAGACCAAGGGCCACAATGCCCCTGAATGCCCCTGGATTTCAGCCCCAGTGGACATCAGTTGAGAGGGGGGAAGGCTTTGATGCTGTTCAAAGCATGCAAGCCCAGTTCCGTCCTCTGCAAGAGGATCTGCCACAGGAAAATTCAAGCAGAGAGGGGAATGTCTCAGCAGAGAGGCAGACTGGTGTTCCTTGCAAATGTGCAAAAAGTGAACCATGCACATGTGCACACGTAGTTTGCAGGATGCAACAGCATTTTGAAGTTTGCGGTTTTAAACGGCTGCAATGCAGAGCTTGCACTTCAGCTGTATATTAACATCATTTACATTCTTCTAGGGACAGAGCAAAGGTGTTGGGTATCAAACTTCTGCAGAATGCAGAAGGTTAAACATGATCAGAGTGACTCAGGATTAAATGCACCTCTGTTTTCATTGGAAAGTGCAGTGCACATGAGTGATTATGGGTGCCCATCTCCCTCTGTGGAGGGTTTGTGACTATGTGTGTGTGTGTGTCCCT